TAATCAATAGTTTTTAGATTTCTATCGCAAGGTTACACTTTCATAAATATCTTACAATGTCAAATGTTATAATTTATTAATTTTTTATCGGCTAGAACTAAATTTACATTTTCATGATTTCTAAGTTACAACTGCATTGATGTATATTAAATAGAAATTTATGTAGAGAAAAATTTATGTTCATTGACGCTTGTTTATGATCATTCTTTTGTAGACAAAAATTAAAAACCATTCCATCCATTCAAAACTATCAATTTCAATTTGATTGATTTTGCCTCGTGTTATGAAACTTACCGATAACACAGAAACTAATCTAATTAAATTTAATTGGTCTGCATATTTTCCAACACTTTACTGACGTAATAATCGTTGTAATCGACAAAAATCATCCCTCGGGTCAAGCCCGTTCTAATTTAATCGAATCTCTGACCCAGGAAACCTCTGAGAGACATTCTACGAAAGACGGAAGAAGCCGGCACGATGCTGAAAAGCTGGAAGCAAGCTTACTTGAAGACTCGGGAGGACATCGAGGAGTCTGGCAAAGGGACGCGCTGGGAATTCGATCAGAAGCGACTGTTCAAGAGCACCGAGTACATCGCCTCCGTTTGCGACGGCCTGAACCAAGTGGCGAACGTTCTCCAAGACTTTCACAACATCTTCGGACCGGAATTGAAATCGATCATCAGCGACCCGGCACAAATCGACACCGTGGTCAAACGAGTCGACAGACTGATCCTCCCGATTCTGGAGGCGGACTACAACGTCTTCGACGAGTACAATCAAGAGAATTGGGAAGCCACTATCTCGTTGTTCTTCGAGGAGGTACATTTCCTGGAGAACGAGGCCAAGTTCTTTATCGACGAGTGCTTCCTGGCGTTGATGAACGCGGAGGACGGGCTCGGGATGTTGCTCAAGTTCAAGGTCATCAAGACCAGAGACACTATCCATCAGCATTTGTTGAGGAAGTTTGACGTTATCATGCAACAATTTAGCAAAGAGGTCAGCACCGTCGAGGGGATATTTAACAGAGGTAAAATATTTCCTTTCGCATTATCATATTCAGTCAATTTGTATAGTATAGTATAAACTTGCGTGGTATTGCTATTGCGTGTAATTGCTATATAAATAATAACATAGGTATATAGATAATAACACCGTGTGAATTATCATTAATAAATAGTATAGAAATAAATAGTAAAAAATATATTATACTGTATTTAGTAGACTGTAAAAAACATATTATACTGAATTTAGTATACTATAAAAGCCATAAATAGTATAAAAATATATTATACTGTATTTAGTATACTGTAAAAGCCTCTTAATTTCTCAGTAATAATATTAATAATAGTCGAAATAATTACATTTGGACTGGCTAATCGTTTTTATAAAAAACGAAATGTTTGGTTTTCCATAATTGGTGCTCCATCTCAATTTTGGCTCAACAATAAAACAGAGATATTGTGTAGCAATATAATTATTAATATGTATCTGCGTAAAGTTTGAATCTGGTTAATGTAAAACCTGATTAATGAAAATTCTGAGTAGTCCTACTTGAATGAAAATAAAGTTTGCAAGTGCTTTAGCAAAACTTGGACTATAATTTGCGAGTGTTCCATTACAGTTTGGACATTTCTCATAAAATCTGGATAACAAGAAACAATGTAATATTCAATATTTTGATGTTTGAAAGTAACTCCGTTGTCGTGTCACTGTTCAATTACGGAAATTGAAAATTTCTTTGCTCGTCTTTCGAATTTCTCCTCTTTATCCTCAACGTTCAACTTTTTGAATAACAAATCGTTGATGCACGACAGGGAAACGAAATCCACCATTGTTAACATACCATACACCGATGGCCGGGGCAATCTACTGGATCAGACAACTGTTCCATCGTCTGAGAAAGTCGGTCTTGATCTTCCAAAACGTTCCGGAGTTGAAGCACAGCAAGCTGAAGATTCTGGCCTTCAGCCAATACTACGAGGTGTCGAGGCAAATGAAGAAGTTCGAGGAATCAAAATACCAATCATGGGCAGAGAAGGCCCAATTCGTCGTGATAAACACCATGAAAAGGAGCATCTTGAAGATGGCACGTTCCGAACCGGACAAAGGTTAACAATGTCCCGTTATTGTATTCCAGAATGAAACAATCATCGCTTAGAGATGGACAACGTTCGCTGTAATGTCTCGTGAATTGGTTTCTCTCTTTCGGAATTTTTAAACGTGTTTCTGTCATGTGTTCGACAATTTCTACAGGTTTATTAACATTCCCAGAAATCGAGGACCTTCAGACGATTCACGTGTCGAAGAAAACGAAGGGCAAAGAGCTCGGGTCCCTTGGATCTATCCCTCACAGTTTTCTTCAGAAGTCTGAACCTGACCCGTCGAAACCGAGCATCGGTAACAAAATCTTCTCGATCTTTCGATTTCTTCATGGACCAACTTTTGCCACGTCGATAGGCAATATTTCAATCGCAAATCTCTTCGGACCTCTATCTTCGAAATTTTTGTTTCCTTGCATTTGTAATATATTTTTTGAATATTTAATAACAATAATAATATAATGTTAATGTTTTGTTCCATATTTTATTTAAATATTTTACTCCGTTATTCGGTTATTTAATATTTTCCTGTCGTTCTGATAGCATAATACATGATAATAATAGTAATAATAATATAATATATGATAATAATGATAATATAATATTAATGTTTCGTTCCATATTTTATTTAAATATTTTACTCTGTTATTCGGTTATTTAATATTTTCCTATCGTTGTGATAGTATAATACATGATAATTATATTAATAATAATATAATGATAATAACGATAATAATGATAATATAATATTAATGTTTCGTTCCGTATTTTATTTAAATACTTTACTCCGTTATTCGGTTATTTAATATTTTCCTATCGTTGTGATAGTATAATAATATTAATAATAATATAGTGATAATAATGATAATAATGATAATATAATATTAATGTTTCGTTCCATATTTTATTTAAATACTTTACTCCGTTATTCGGTTATTTAATATTTTCCTGTCGTTCTGATAATATAATATTAATGTTTCGTTCCGTATTTTATTTAAATATTTTACTCCGTTATTCGGTTATTTAATATTTTCCTATCGTTGCGATAATATAATATATGATATTAATGATAATATAATATATGATAATAATATTAATAATAATATAATATTAATGTTTCGTTCCATATTTTATTTAAATATTTTACTCCATTATTCTCTTATTTAATATTTCCCTGTCGCTGTCTTCTACACTTTAATTTATAATTTAATATTTCATCTTTCATCATTGGCATCTGATTTTACGATTCTGTGAAATTTCAAGAAATTGAAGTATTCACATTTCCATTTTCTTGCTACTGTCTTCCCAATATTTTTACAATTAAATAACCTTGTAATTTTTATAATCTAAATATCTCAATGTTCCTCTATTGCGTGTGATTTTACAATTTCAAAAAATTAAGGTGTCTACAATGTTACGATGAATTTCTGCTCGAGGCTGTTCGTTCTGAATTTTTTTACCGATTGAAATTGTCCTTGTCCGAGACAGCCAGTTCCGGAGGGATCAAGGGACAAGCCAGATCGGAATTAAGACCCGAGGTGAAAGCGTCACTTCCATCTCACAGAGATCAAAAATCGTGGGTCTCTACCTCGGAGAAGCAGGCCATTCAAGCAACGAAGATTACTTGGGCGGAATTTATGAGCGGATCGATTCTCGTCGAGTGTCAGCTTCGTTTCCAAGTGAATTTCGATTGGGACCTGTTCGAAATCATTCACGAGGTATACGTTCACCACTTCCAGTAATCGCAGCACGTACGAGTACCACATGCTGTCATAGTTTTGATTACACAGGCTGAACTGATGGAACAATTAGGTTTCAAATTAACGCCGGTAGTGAAAGACGCTAGCATTCAGAAAAATCGGTTGAGGGACGATCTCGAGATGATTGAGAAAGTAATCAACCAGTACAACGAGATGATCGACAAAATGGACAAAGCGGATGTACGTAATGCTAGAAGAAATATTTCTACGCTCAATAAATCTGTCTTGATAATTTAATCTCTTGCGCTGGAATGAAGTGCCACGTTCAGAATTTTTTGTTCCAAAATATGTAATATTTGTAATATAAAATGATAATTGTAACATTCTCTCAGTTTTAAGTAAAGCAAAATAGAAAAGAACAAATAATATTGCTGCAAATTTATTGCTTCTCGATAATTTCTATCACAGTGATGTCATACCGGCGAGTTCAAAAAGAAAGCGACAAATTGTTGTGTACGGTTCGTCGGTCACTCGTTATGGTACGCAATCAGTTGCCAGCGCAAGTGGTCAGAAACGTTCTAGCGTCAGCATTTCTCATTTTTCCTTTCTTTCATTTCTCGAGATACATCTTTGTCCGAGCTTTTAGAGACGTTTATCTTTCATTTTATAAAGAATTTAAGTATCATTTACAGTTTTATTATTTATATTATTTTGTTTATTATTATTATGTTATTTATATTATTTTATATTATTTTGTTTTATTTTCTAAATAAAAATGTGACACATGGTGGAATTGATCCAAAAGGTTTCAAATTAAGCGGAGAAAATGATTGTCGAAACGATAGATAGAACTATTTCTTAGGACAAAAGTAACTTGCGAATGTTAACGAGCACACTGTCAGAGCAGATACAATTGTTGAGGAATACGTTGTTGGACGTCGAGAAGCATATTCAGCCTGGAGTGATGCGTTTCAATTGGAACTCTTTAAATATTTTTGACTACGCGCACAGCTGTGAGAAATTGCTGAAGAATCTGAGCTCGATCGTGGATCAGGTGAACCGTATGAAGAACGATCTTGACAACAGAATAAATAACGACCTGCAGAATTTCAATCTATTTTCCCTTCCTCTGAACTACTACAAGGAAGAAGAATTGCTGCCTTGCAAGGTTCGTACTATATTAATAATTGTACATTACAAATGTGTCAATAGTCATTCGTTTATTAATGTTTCTGAAATTTTTTACGTTAACTTTCTATTTGTCATGCATTGAAAATTTGAAGAGAACACTGCCTATTACATGAGTATTGTTTAAAGAAAAATATCTAAATGTAACAAAGTGTAAATATCCAAGAAATATAAAATTATAAAGGGAATAATTATAAAGATATACTTTGTTATAAATTATATATGAGAAGTGTACCTACTTTTCAAAATTTTGCAACTTGGCCTAAATCTACGTTTCCTTCATTAAATCACATTTACAATTACTACTATTATTATTACTAATAAATATGAATAATATACGAATAATAAATAAATATAAATACGAATATAATATAATAATATATATTACATTATATAGTAATGTAATATAATATAATATAATAAATAATAAATAATAATAAATAAATAAATATACGAATAGTAAACGGTCATCTTTTCTTCAAAGACTTATTTCCAAGAGATACAAAATCGGAGAATCGAGCTAGTTGGCGCGATGTCGACGATATATCAGTCGACGAGTCCGGTGTTGATAAAACTGGAAAGTCTAGTATTGGGGACGCATACTGGAAGAAGCTCGTCCATGCAGTTGTTTTACGAGAAGTACGAGAAGAAAATATTTTCCGCCTTCATAACGTGAGTTTCTCCAAATCACCAAGCCAATAACGTTGTTACTGTCGCGAACGAGATCTGTAAAATCTGGCGAGGACCACGACGCGAGAAAATTCTGTGAAAATTCATTTCTTTTCTTCAAAATTTATTCCCTCGTTTCGCTCTTAAGAAAAATAAAATATTGGAATTCTTCAACGTTTCAAATGAATTCGTTCGTTCTTATCGGTGAAAATAAAATTTGCCAAATGGCGAGGTGAGATTCGACATAAATTATAAATTATTGTCGTGTTACTAATCATATGAATTGAGAAATTGTTAATCAAGGCTGTCGAAAATTGTTAAATCAATGTTAAAAATCGTCAATAACGGTAATATAAACTACACAGATGCATGATGAAGAACTTGGAGTGTTTCAATAAAACTCTGATGGACACTAAACCGATTTTCCAAGTGGACGGTATATTAATCGCTTCAGAAGCGGTTCTGAGGCCATCGCCTGGTGAAATTTACAACATTATCCTGCAAAACGTGAGGAATTTGTTGGAGAAGTTGAAAACATTCCCCAGATGGATGAATGGGACTTGTTTGGAATGCAAGCCGCAAAGAAAAAACGATTACGAAACGTTCGCCACGGTCACATTCTTCGAGGACGTCATGAGCATTCAGGTGAATCATTCGTAAAATCGTTTTTTCTTTTTTTACGGAACAACGCACGAAATTTTTATTAAATTTCATTTTTCATGAAATTATTTAATATCTCTGAAATCTATTAAATCTAATATCATGAGATTGCCTAATATATTAGTAATATTAATAATAATATTAATAGTATTTTAATATTATTCTTAATTTAATATTATTAATTTAATAACAATATTAATCTAATTTAAGATTATCTAATATATTTAATATCTTTAATAAAAATAATATTAATATTGTAATATTAATAATAATATTAATATTGTAATATTAATAATAATATTAATATTGTAATATTAATAATAATATTAATATTGTAATATTAATAATAATATTAATATTGTAATATTAATAATAATATTAATATTGTAATATTAATAATAATATTAATATTATTTTAATAATAATATTAATCTAATTTCACGAGATTATATAATGATATTTAATATCTTTAATAAAAATAATATTAATATTATTTTAATATTATTATTAATTTAATATTATTTTAATAACAATATTAATCTAATTTAAGATTATCTAATATATTTAATATCTTTAATAAAAATCGATGATTGAAGTTTCCTGTTTACAATGACACCTCCAAACATATTATACGATTTCTGTACCATTTATTATTTACCATTTCGTTTTACTATAATATAATTCATTATAATATAGTCGTACAATTAAAATTAATTACAACGAACATATAAATGAATAAAATAAATCACTAAATTTAAATTGGATGAGTTGAGGAATGAATACGCAAAATTACGGATTAGGATTAAAATCGGTCAACTTATGATTAACGAATTCGTCGAAATTTTTCTTGTTTACGCCGAGTGTGTAATTTTTGTCAATCACGTCTGCGTAGGTAGTGAATGATAATATACTAATGGTTCAAAGGTCGGCGCATAAAATAGCGTTGGACGCTTGGAACTATCTGTACAGGTGGAAGAAGTATAGTAATTTATGGTCGTTCGACAAGAACCTGACTGGTGAAAAGTACGCCGCGACCGAACCAACTCTTCATCAATACGACGAAAAATTCTGTTTCTACGACAATATTCTCCAAGAAATAAACGAAATGGCACTCCATTACGATGTCTACTCCGTACGGTAAATGCTCGTCTCATAAACTAAACGTCTGAATTTTCTTGAAAATCGGAGAATAAATTCGGACCAGTTCAAGATGAATCTAAAATTCCGGGAAAATTACGATCCGATAGTTATAAAAATTTTGTTTCATTGTGGTATAGAAGATTAAAGTTTCCTCTTTGCAATGATCTCTTAAAATTTGTATGACTTTTTTTTAAATATTTTATTGAACATTAAACGACGAGACGTTAAGATTTTTTGAACCCTAAGGAATCGTTGCGAAGAGAAATCTCCAAACTGTAAAAATTATACTTTCAACGTAAATAAAAATCTTAAATTTTCGAAACTTTCATATATATATACAATGAAAAATACTCGATCTGTCAAATTATATACGAAAACATTCGAATTAGCGATGTTAAATTTACGAATTTCTAACTGCTACTTATCAATTATTATTATTATTATTATTAAATAATTTATATATAATATATAAGTCATGTACTAGAACTATCGACAAAATATATAATATATAATATATAAGTCATGTACTAGAACTATCGACGAAATGTAAAAATTCTAAGCAAAAGAATTTAAATACAACATTAGATTTACGAATTTCTGTTCTTTTTCTGTCGATAGTTCAAGCGTAAGTTATGATAAACATAACGATAGGCGAGTACTCTTTGTCACCACTGAATGTATATCGTGTTATTTATTTAAAAAAATACTGAATCATTTCTTTTATGTAGCATCAATCTCAGTTTCCTGCTCTCTGGTATCAAGCAACACGCCAAAGAATGGAAGCAAGTCCTCGGTCATTATCTTCTGCATCAAACTGTTCACGAAATGAACGATCTACGTTTGATAATCGAGGACTTCCGAAGCGAGGTCGAACTTGTCATCACTGGTTTAGATCGTTTCACATCTGTCATGCAAGCGATCTCCGACATAAAGAAAACAGCGATTCAAGCAGAATTTCGTTACACGACGTGTCAGGTTTGTCGTAGAAAATAATATCTTTCTAACAATAGAAAATATTAAAAAAGAGAGGGAATCAGTTTGAAATATAAACAAATTCAGTACGGAAAATCCTTGGATAAATGTTCATTGAATTTTTACTCGTTTTGAACAGATTTTTCATTTTGTAAACTCGTGATGATAATTATGCAAGTTTAAAGTAATGGATTTAAATAGATTATAAATGGAATTCGATCAAATTAATTTTTAAAAGTCAACGTGTAACAACAGAATCGTCGATTGTAATTATTTTATAGTAACTCTCTCGCTCAACTTAAATTCGAATCCTTCAATTTTTGTATTATAAATCAATGTAAGAAGGATCTCCTGGTAAAAAAAATTTCTGACACAATAATGTATATTTCACAAAATACATCATTGCAATATATAAACGTAATTAATAATAATTAATTGCACGAATAATTCAAATTAATAGGAGATTACACGAAAACCTAATCGTAACCTATGTTATGATTAAAGATATATTATAGAACCGATTGTACTGTAATTGTAATTTAATTTTCAGGAGACCTTTCGAACATTGCTCAGCCACGACATAAGTTTTCCCGAGGAGGACGAGCAAATGGCTTATAATTTGCAACGTGATTGGGAGTCCCTGTATCTGGGCGCTTTGTACAGGGCTTCGACTCTGGCAACCACTTCCGACAGATTTTCCGACATGACGCAAGAGCAGATAAACGAATTCGTGAAGGAACTCGAGCAATTTGCAGCGGACTTCGAGGTCAACGGCCCTGGCAGCGTAGGGGAGGACCTCGAACATGGACTGGTCAAAATGGACGTAAGTGATGCGCGAAAGTTACCAAAGTTATCTGTCTTTCTGTTTTTCATTCACATTTCCAGTTTTGTACGAACTGCGAGAAGAAAGGAAGAAAGAAAGAAAGGAAGGAAATTTCACAATGTGTTCACCAATGGATTTAATAACTACCTATTTTAATATTCTCAAAGTTTCTATTTTTCACTGAAATTTCCAATTTTCGTATGAATTAAGAGAAGAAAGAAAGGAAATCTCATAATGTGCCTGTGAATGGATTCAATGCTACTTTAATATTCCTCAACTTTACTATAGTCCTTTTCACTCTTCATTGAAATTCTCACTATTCTGCGAATTAAAGAAAGAAAGACAGAAAGTAAATTTCATAATGTTTCCAAATGGATTTAATATTCAAAAATATTAAAATATTAATATCTATCTTTGGCTACTAATATTTTAATATTTTCTAAAGGTATTAATATTTTAAAATATTAAAGTATCAATGCCTATCTAATGTAAAAAATATTAATACCTATTTTAATATTTTCAAAAGGTATTAATATTTTAAAATATTAAAGTATTAATACCTATCTAATATAAAAAATACTAATACCTATCTTTAGGTATCAATATTTTAATATTTTCAAAAGGTATTAATATTTTAAA